AATTTTAGGGGAGGGTGCCTTAGACACGAGCATGTATATGCTGATGGCAGACGGTCTCCTCTTTTGATGAAAACACAGCATTGAATGGTTTTTATTTTGATTATAAGGACTTGTTGCAGATTTTGTAGGATATGGTTAAGGTTTCTCCATCATTACCCCCAAATTTCAGAGGGCTTTGGTGTTTTTCAATTTTTTAACCCTATGAAACTGAACATTGAGAAGGATCTAGAGGTGAGTTTGGGGATAGATGTAGATTTGAGATGGAAAATGGAACTGATACATGTAGGTCAGATGCTAAGCAGAAAGAGAAGTAAAGGTTCAGGGATCCCAGGTACCTGCACATGAGGAAGCCCCCCCCCTCCTCTGGTGATGCCCAGTCACCCCCCCCCACTATCCTTCCCCATTTCTTCCCAAAGTGGTGTTTTCCTGGTGAAGGGTCATGCTATGAGAGCTGCTAAGCTCTGCCAGGGGTGGTGGCCAATGACCACAGAATTGTAGTTCTACTTTTCTCTTCCCTGGAGATGCAGTGGGGAGGGCTCTGGGCCCTTGGCCAGAGATCACTTGAAACAGTGTCTGTTTGTTTGTTTCTTTGACTGCTTAGTTGTTGGTACCTCTGGTGGCATGGCTGGGAGGCTCTGCTAAGAATACTATCTGCAATGGCCAGGTTGTCAGGCAGCGGGAGCCTTTCTGCCCAGTTTATACTCTATGTCTCTGTGGGCACGAAGGTCAGAGATGGCTCTGGAATCACCATGTTGTGGCTTCTAGGGAGCCTGGAACACTTTGCTCTCTCTCCTCCACCCTACCATCCATTCCCTACATGGTCATCTGTTCCTGTCCATCCAGGAGGGAAGGCACAGACAGTTTATTCTCTGATTTCCTGGTAGGGAACTGTGATGAGCCACACACAAGGCTCACCCTGTAGGTAGTATAACCAGCAGAGTCCAGCCTTCTGCTTTTGGGCGTCTGCCTTGCACCTGGCGCTCTGGCCTCCAATCTTATTCACCTATAAAAGAAAATGTTTAAGCTAGGAGGGATTGATGACATTGGCAGGAGCCTTCCCCATAGGAACTGGGTGCCAAAGGCCCAGCTGGTGGTTTTTACACTTGTCCTTTCTTCTGTGGCCCAGGACCTTGCTCCAGAAGTGGGGCAAAAGGACGGGCAGGAGGGATGGAAATGGAAGCTGCTTCAGGTGGGAGAAAGTGGACCCGGCCACAGGAGTCCTTTCTCCGTGGGCCATCCCTACTCTGCTCTGACTAGAACTTCAGGGCTCCTGGTCAACCACTTTCTCATCTCCTCTCCAATAGATCAGGCCAGCTCTGAAGGGGTTGTTTCTCTGTTTTTAATTGTTTGAAGCCTTCCTGATCCTGTCCTACCTCACTTGACTTTGACTAGTCCTTCAGGTCTTAAGAAGGTCATTTTTCCAGGAAGCCATTCTTTTTTTTTTTTTTATGAATTAATTTTTATTGGTGTTCAATTTACCAACATACAGAATAACACCCAGTGCTCATCCCGTCAAGTGTACCCCTCAGTGCCCGTCACCCATTCACCCCCACCCCCCACCCTCCTCCCCCTCCACCACCCCTAGTTCATTTCCCAGAGTTAGAAGTCTTTATGTTCTGTCTCCCTTTCTGATATTTCTCACACATTTCTTCTCCCTTCCCTTATATTCCCTTTCGCTATTATTCATATTCCCCAAATGAATGAGAACATACACTGTTTGTCCTTCTCCGGTTACTGTGGCCAAGTTCAAAAAGGGTGTTGCCTGAGTTCTTCTCTGGGATTTTGATGGAATCTTGTCTCACATTTAGATCTTTCATCCATTTTGAGTTTATCTTTGTGTATGGTGCATGAGAGTGGTCCAGTTTCATTCTTCTGCATGTGGATGTCCAATTTTCCCAGCACCATTTATTGAAGAGACTGTCTTTCTTCCAGTGGATCGTCTTTCCTCCTTTATCGTATATTAGTTGAGCATAAAGTTCAGGGTCCACTTCTGGGTTCTCTGTTCTGTTCCATTGATCTATATGTCTGTTTTTGTGCCAGTACCACACTGTCTTGATGAACACAGCTTTGTAGTACAACCTGAAATCTGGCATTGTGATGCCCCCAGATATGGTTTTCTTTTTTTAAAATTCCCCTGGCTGTTTGGGGTCTTTTCTGATTCCACACAAATCTTAAAATAATTTGTTCTAAGTCTCTGAAGAAAGTCCATGGTATTTTGATAGGGATTGCATTATACGTGTAAATTGCCCTGGGTAACATTGACATTTTCACAATATTAATTCTGCCAATCCATGAGCATGGAATATTTTTCCATCTCTTTGTGTCTTCCTCAATTTCTTTCAGAAGTGTTCTGTAGTTTTTAGGGTATATTTTGAGAACCATTTGAATGGTAAATGGTTCTCCAACCTTTTATTTTCAGGTTGTAGGTGTCCTTCTGTCTAAAATGAGTCTCTTGTAGACAGCAAATAGATGGGTCCTGTTTTTTTATCCAGTCTGAAACTCTGCGCCTTTTGATGGGGTCATTAAGCCCATTCACGTTCAGAGTTACTTGAACTTCTTCTTAAAGGGGAGTTTTAAGAGTCCCCCTTAAAATTTCTTGCAGAGCTGGTTTGGAGGTCACATATTCTTTCAGTTCCTGCCTGTCTTGGAAGCTCTTTATCTCTCCTTCCATTTTGAATGAGAGCCTTGCTGGATAAAGTATTCTTGGTTGCATGTTCTTCTCATTTAGGACCCTGAATATATCCTGCCAGCCCTTTCTGGCCTGCCACGTCTCTGTGGATAGGTCTGCTGTTACCCTAATATTCCTCCCCATGAAAGTCAGGGACTTCTTGTCTCTTGCTGCTTTAAGGATCTTCTCTTTATCTTTGGAATTTGCAAGCTTCACTATTAAATGTCGAGGTGTTGAACGGTTTTTATTGATTTTAGGGGGGGATCTCTCTATTTCCTGGATCTGAATGCCTGTTTCCCTTCCCAGATTGGGAAAGTTTTCAGCTAGGATTTGTTCAAATACATATTCTGGCCCTCTGTCCCTTTCGGCGCCCTCGGGAACCCCAATTAAATGTAGGTTTTTCTTCCTTAGAGTGTCGTTCATTTGCCTTAATCTGTCTTCATGGTTCTTTAATTGTTTATCTCTTTTTTCCTCAGTTTCCCTCTTTGCCATTAACTTGTCTTCTATGTCACTCACTCGTTCTTCCACCTCGTTAACCCTGGTCGTTAGGACTTCTAGTTTGGATTGCATCTCATTCAATTGATTTTTAATTTCTGCCTGATTGGATCTAAATTCTGCAGTCATGAAGTCTCGTGAGGCCTTAATGCTTTTTTCTAGAGCCACCAGTAGCTGTATAATGGTGCTTCTGAATTGGCTTTCTGACATTGAAGTGTAATCCAGATTTTGTAACTCTGTGGGAGAGAGGGCTGTTTCTGATTCTTTCTTTTGAAGTGAGGTTTTCCTTCTAGTCATTTTGCTCAGTGCAGAGTGGCCAAAAACAAGTTGTATTGGAACACGGGGGAGTATCACTGGTCCGTCCAGCTGGTCTTCTGGGGGAGGGGCCTGCTGTGCTGATTTTCAGGTGTTAGCACTTGGGGGAGCTGCTCTGCCCCTGCCTGCTGCAGGGCTCAGCGGGGGTTGTTTACCCCGTGGGACCCAGGGAGGAACAGCAGCAGTTGCTATGGCAACTCTGGAAGCCTGGATTCAACCTCCGCAGGAACTACGGGGCTCGGGGCTCTCGCTCTCCGTCCGCAGGGCCTGGAGGCTCCGGGGCGGGGCCGCTGATCTGCTCAGCTCGGGGCAGGAGCGTCCTTGCTGTCCTGGGCCCTCCCGGCCTCTGCCTGTCCCAGGGGGAGGCCGGATCCTGGGCTGTGTCCCGGCGCCCTGTGCTCCGGGGCCTGCGCTGTTGGATTCGCGCTCCCGCCCCGCAGCCCCCTCCCTGGAGCCGCTCCCGAGCCCCTCCGAGCTGCTCCGGTCGGTCCCGCCGTGCGCGCTGCAGCCCTTAGGGAGCTCGGCGCACTCTCCCGGGGCGCAGGTGTCTGTTAGTGTCCCCGGGAGCCCGAGGGCATCCCCGCCCTCCTGGGTCCTGCTCCAACTCCCTGCGAGCCCCTTTCCGCCCGCCCGCCCGGGAAGGTTGGTGCAGCTCCTGCTCCTCCGGGACGGGGCTCTCCTGTCCTGGGGACACTCGCCCCGGCCTCAGCCCGGCTCCTCGCGGGGCCCCTCCCCCTCGGAGGCCTTTTGTTCCTTTATTTCTTTTTCCCCGTCTTCCTACCTTGATAGAAGCGCGAACTCTTCTCACTGTAGCATTCCAGCTGGTCTCTCTTTACATCTCAGGCCGAATTCGTAGATTTTCAGGATGGTTTGAAGGTTATCTAGGTAACTTGGTGGGGACAGGTGATTTGGGGACCCTGCTCTTCCGCCATCTTGCCCCTCCCCCTTCCGCCATCTTGCCCCTCCCCCAGGAAGCCATTCTTAATTCTGCTCATCCCAGTCCCTACTTCCAACACCCTTTATTATATTCTGCTTTATCACTCTGTTTTTCCCTAGCATATCATTCACCATGTGTTGTTGTAAAAATACATTCTCTCTGATGTGAGAGGCAAAGTATAGTTCCGTCTTGTCTGCAGATTTATCCTCAAGGCCTACTATTTGGGAGGCTCTCCAAATATTTGAATAAAAGTGGGCTTGGAATTTCTTAAAATTTTTAGGTCAGATGTTAAGACCTACTTTCTTTAGATCAGGGGGACAAAGAGGAATTTAGTTTTGGAGTTACTGAGACTGAAAAATCTGTCCAAGACCCAGCCAAATACGTGGATCTGAAACTCATGTAAAAAGGACATCCTTGGGGAAATAGATTTGGAAATCATTAGCAAGTCCTGGAAGGCAGCCTTCTATCCTCCCAGTGTTGCTATGGCCTAGGTTTAGCGTGATTAATGAGAGATGGAGGACAAAGCTTCTCTCTCCTAGTAGATTTTTCTTTCCCATGGGTTTATTCATTTGTTTCCCATTCCAGAAATGGCTTCCACCTTCCATCCACGAGAATGTGAGCTGTCTAAACAAGAAGGGCAAAGCTATGGCTTCTTCTTACGAATTGAGAAGGACACTGATGGCCACCTGGTCCGGGTGGTTGAGAAGGGTAGCCCAGCAGAGAAGGCGGGCCTCCAGGATGGAGACCGAGTTCTTAGGATCAATGGTGTCTTTGTGGACAAGGAAGAGCATATGCAGGTGAGTGGGACATCTGGGGTTCTTCTTCTAAGATCTCTCTAACCTGGGCAGCCCGGGTGGCTCAGCGGTTTGGTGCTGCCTTCAGCCCAGGGCCTGATCCTGGAGTCCTGGGATTGAGTCCCATGTCGGGCACCCTGCATGGAGCCTGCTTCTCCCTCTGTCTGTGTCTCTGCCTCCCTCTCTCTCTCTCTGTCTCTCTTTCTCTCTCTGTCTCTCATGAATAAATAAACAAAATCTTAAAAAAGAAAAATCTCTAGCCTCCACATCTCTGCTGATTAGTTTTTGGGATCATCAGAGATTTCCCGGCTGCCACTGGCAAGGCAGACACCTTTATGGCTATACTTTCTGCGTGCTAATCAAATCCCCTCCAAATTAACTGGAAACTATGAAAGTATTCCTAGATTGAATAGTGTCAGAGCCAATAGGCATCATGTTTGCTATATGCCAGGAACCATGCTAGGCAATTTCATATTCCTTATTTTGTTGAATACAATCCATGAGCTACATATCACCACTTCACAGAAGAGAGCTCAGAGGCTCCGAGAACACATGCTAATGTGTTCATGCAGTGAACACACGTGAAGGTCTGACCTTATCCCAGTTCTGCCTGCCTCCTAGTGGATGCTCTTTTCAATATACCACGCTGTTTCCATTAGCCCACCTGGGATTGGGCCCCAATCTAGGTTCCACCAGTGCTAGAGCCCTGCCCCCTCCAATCAGCACCTAGATCTTAGGAGGGATGGGGTACAGATGGGTGGAGCACTACCTGCTGACTCTTTGAACTCCAGAGGTCAGCATTCAGAATCTCTAGGTCCCCAGAATGAGCCAGATGGTGAACATCCTCTATGGTGGCTGATGGGGTTCTTGGTTAAAGTTATCTTTTTCTTCCTTCTAGGTTGTGGATCTGGTCAGAAAGAGTGGGAATTCAGTGACTTTACTAGTCCTGGATGGGGATTCCTATGAGAAAGCAATGAAAAAACAGGTAGACTTGAAAGAGTTGGGTCAAAATCAGAAGGAGCAGAGTTTGAATGATGAGAAACTGTCCGCCGTGGTGAATGAAGGAGCACAGACTTGGACCCAACCCAGGCTCTGCTACCTGGTGAAGGAAGGGAACAGCTATGGCTTCTCTCTGAAAACTGTCCAAGGTGAGCTTGAGGGTAGGATTTTCAGGAGAAAGATATAATTGGTTAATGACTTCTTTGACGAAATCTTCAGATGCTGTGATTATTCAACTGCAGCTCCTCCCTCCCTTCCTCCCTCCCTTCCTCCCTCCCTTCCTCCCTCCCTTCCTCCCTCCCTCCCTTCCTCCCTCCTTTCCTCCCTCCCTCCTTCCTTCCCTCCCTCTTTCTCTTCTTCCCTCCCTCCCTGGACCTTCCCTTGCTTTGACAATTGTGCAATGAGGAATCAAAACACTGGAGCCAGCACAGGGTGGGGAGGACCACTGGGTACTCTGTCCCCCAGTGTTTGTTAGGCTGAGCCTTGGAGGGCAGGGGGTTAGAGGACTGCCGATCCTTTGTTATTATTTCCTCACTTCTTGAGGGTGAGAGTGGAGGGGAGAAGTGGGAATAAAAGGCAAGAAAAAGGAGATTCTTCATAATAGCTACTTTTGAATAAGGATATCTTTCTACTACTGAGTGCTCAGGTGATCATTTATTCAACACATTCTTGAGTACCTGTTGATATGCCAGACCCTGTTATAGTTGCCAAGGATGCTATACTAATCCCCACCCTCCTGTGACACTGAAATAGTATCTTCCACTGTGGCCCAGCCTCAACTGCTCTGAGATGCGTCCCTGACTTCTGAGAGGTACATAGTGATTTGAAAAGCCCCAATCATCAGGAAGTACTAGAAGCTCGGTTTCTAGGATTTCAGAGATGTAGGCTGACCTTTGCTCAGTTGACTGTGGTTCTGTAATGGTGTCTCTGGGATTTAGGTTGGAGCCATAGAAGCTATATTAGCCTTTTGGTTCCACCTTGAATGTTGCTCCTCCCACATTCTTTCTGATACTAGAGAAGCACTGGTCTTGGGTAAGTAATAAAGAGCAGAACAAGAGTATACATAAAGTTGTTTCCAATGCTTATTTAACCTATAGCAAGAGATATAAAGTAGCTATAAGAGGTATTTCTCAAGTTTTTCTGTTATTAAACATAATGATGTAGGTGGTCAAGGGAAGCTTGGCATTTCTTAGAAGTCCATTATCAGCAAAATGGTGAAAAAAATAATAATTCAGATTCTATTCATTTGACCCTTGTGCTAACGTACATAATGAATGATTTAAAATTAGCTTATTGAAGAAAATGTTTTCTTCACGACAAATGTATAACAAGGAAACAGGAGAAATTTTAAGGCAGCAGTTTATACTGTTATTCCCTACAAATGATTTATTTCATCATTATGAAGCTACCTTTTGCCTAGGTTGTAATATTAGTATCTTGAAAGAATTGACAGCATTTCTATAAGAAGCACCTAAATCATACCATCCAGTAATCCAGACCTGACTGTATGTGTGTGTATATCCCCTCCCTTCTGTGCCTCTGTCCTCTTAGGCCTGCATAAGTGAGATTTAGTGACTTCATTAGTATGTGATGCTTGGTGATAGTACTAATTAAAGAGGTCAGAATGGAACAGATATCTTCTAATTCCACAAATATGAAGAACGGGAGTAAGACACAATGATACAGCATGGGTATGGCTTGGTGCTTTCTGATTCAAGAGGCCACTGCCCTCTGAGATTCCTTCCTTGCATTTAGTTGGGCTCAGGAATTCTATTCAGATCAATAAGAACCAACTGAATAATGTCTGTGTCAAGCTTTGTGTTAGGAGCCATAATTTTAATTCTAGATCAGAAGCCAAAGTCTATTTGAGTTAGCCATAAAATTAGAAGTTGTATATTACATTATTGGGAGAAAACCCTTTATCGTTGGACTTTCTGTGTAATAGGGTTGTAATGCTTATCCATGTCCTTTCAGGGAAAAAGGGAGTGTACATGACTGATATAACACCTCAAGGTGTGGCTATGAAAGCTGGTGTCCTAGCAGGTGATCACTTGATTGAAGTGAATGGAGAGAATGTAGAAGATGCCAGCCATGAGGAAGTGGTTGCAAAGGTATAGCCCATAGGGATACTTACTTTTCACTCTACTCTTATTAGAAGTGACACAAAAACAGGAATGGTAGTTTATGATGGGAGGAATATAACGATGAGAAGTTAACCAACCCTTTGTATTAAGAATGAACAGACTCACTAGTGGTGTCAGCAGTGTTAAGATAGGGTTTTGGAATAAGGCCTTTACTAGTTTTAGGTTTTCGGAGAAAAGTATTCTAAAGAATCGTTAACTTTATCTCTTGGATCTTATTTGTACCTGATTGGGATACCCCTCTGAATTTATAATAAAGTCAGTGTTTTACTAAAATGTTTTAAGGCAAGCTGGCAGATGACCAATTGTGGTTATGAATATAGAGCTACACATGGGGAGTGTTGGAAGACCTGTTACCCCAAATCTTATGTCCCAGCACAGTTCCATGATACAAGGATAACACTGAGGTTTTCCTCTGAGATAATATGGAACCTTGAAAACTGACCAACTTCGTCTTCTTTTGGTAGAATAATTTTTCAAAGTAGACCTTTACTTGCTTTTCCAAACTCCTTTTCTAGACTTGAGTACCTCACTTAATTACCTGTCTGGGTTTTTGGAGTTCTAGCTCTCACTTGGGTTCAGTTAGCACCTGTGTGGGTGAGGTCATACTTAACAAAGGGAAACACAACTGTGGATGTGGAGATAGATCAACATCAGTGAGATGATGTAGGAAACAGTATCACAGTTTAACTTGGGACTTACATTCTATATTCTATTGAATCTAGAGACTGTGCTTCCAGGCAGAGACTTTTCTACTTTCCAGCATTGTTCTTGCAGCTGGCCATGGGGCTTACCTGTGTGTGCTATTGTAGGTGAAGAACTCTGGAAGCCATGTCATGTTCCTGTTGGTCGACAAGGAGACTGACAGGCTCCATACTGAGCAGAAGATAGAATTCAAGAGAGAAACAGCCAGCCTGAAACTGCTACCCCGCCAGCCTCGGGTCGTAGAGATGAAGAAGGGAGGCAATGGCTATGGTTTCTATCTGAGGGCAGGTCCAGAACAGAAAGGTAAGGCACTAGTAGAGCAGAAAACTTGGTGGTGTCACCATGTAATTCTTCACTCAGTCTGACTCCAGGCTTCTGTTATGCCCCTGAGTCCCTACCAGCTGCATGAGGGGACGGTGAGAGATTAAAGAATATAGCTGGGTCATTTTCTAGGGGGAGCATGACAGGCATCTGAAGGTTTCCTCAACAGAATGATAAGGCAGACTTTTGGATCTGGGCAGCAGTATGTTGTAAATTTGCTCTCTTGGAGAAAAAAGGCACCCTGATTTCTAGCTTTTGTTGATTTTTTTTTGTGGTGTGGGTACTCCCAATACATCCGATTTCAAGCTACCAATGTGCTGTCACAGAATGTGAAGTTGAAAAGTCTTGAATAGAATTGGTTCTCATGAGCTTATGTGAGCCAGCTCCAATACACCACTAGATCTGAGACAGGGGTGTCGGTTGGGATCTGGGAATCAAATAGAATTGGGAATCTTTCTGATTCCTTGTAACTCAACAAGCTAAGGTCCTTCTTGGGAAGCTGAACACATAAAAGAATGCAGGTTCAGGCCATTTGCAAACTGTCATTCTAGACGTTGATATTTTCTTTTCATTAGGTATACTTACATTAATTTGTCAAATATTAATTTTGATTCATATTATATAAAAACATCTTCAGAGCCTTATATAATACCAAGAGAATCAAACAGGGATTCTTCAGTCAAGGAGCCCACTATTTAGTAGAGGAGATACAACACATATAACAGAAGGTGAGTGGTGAGGAGCACTGTCATATGGGGTAGAGTACAATTGGAATTCAAAGTTGGAGCACATTTTTCTCACTAAATAAGAACCGGAAGGCCTCATACTAGAGACAGCACCTGAGCTCAGACTTTGTAGTGTGAATACAATTTGGACAAGTAGATGGTATGGGGACAACGAAGCCCATTCCATGAGGATTGTGTGAACAAAGCAGGGAAGCATGGGCGTAGTTTGATTGGCATCTAATGCATGACACAAAAAATCACATTGGAAAGGAAGGTTGGAAAGAGATGATGAGGGCCTTTAAGGCCAGGTTGAAGAGTTTGGACTTGGCTCTGTAGTTTATGTGGAGTTAAAAGTTTTTTCAACAGCGTAGGAAGAAAAAATTAAGCCTACCATATCTTGGAGGCTTTACACATCTCAAGTACTCCTAATAATTCTGCAAGAAGAATTTCTGAAATTGAGGGCTGGGAGAAGATACAGTAACTATAAGGACAAATAGTTGTGGTTTAACTGGGATCAAATTCAGGTCTGTTCAGTTCTAAAGCCCACGCTTGTGCTGCTGGACCAGGGAATAATTTGGTTAGATGTTGCATAAAGATGAATCTGAAGGCAAGGATTAGGGACAGGGAGAGCAGTTGGTAAGGTGCTATAGTCCAGTAGAGTTTAAGGCCAGAACTAATACCATATGCATTTAGGGTAGAGGAAGTGGGACCAGAGAAGAAATGTGTCAAATATTAAGGTAGCATCAAATGACCTAGCAGTTGATTAGAATATGGGGAGTGGATACTGAGGAATAATTGATGCTAACTGTTGGTAACTGAGGTGATAATGCTCCCATGAACAAGTGAGCAAGGGGAAGAGCTTTGGGATGGGGGAGATGGGCAAAGATGACTTTTGGTTTGAATATGTTACATTTGAGGGATCTATGGGCTACCTAGCTGGAGATGCCCAACAGTTAGCTGGAAAAGTGAAACTGGAACTTCTCAAAATAGTGGGAGGGACAAAAAAAATGTGAGAGACCTGAAGGCATCTCATGAAGACAGTTCAAGTCAGGAGAGGAAGGGTAAAGACACATCCTTGAGGCACACACATACAAGCACATTCACAGTTGAATACACCCAATCGTTACTAAAATGCTAGCATGTGTTTCCTAGGCTCTGAGTTCTTTGGTTTCGTTCTTTTTTCTTCTTCCTCATTTTAATAGCTTAGCTTCTATGTAAGATGTATGGGCACACAGATATTCACTGACTTCCTGGGAATTTGCTGATTATTAATGCTTAAGATGTTATTTTGTCGAGACTGAATCTCACACACTTTTAGTAACAACATGATTCTTTTCTGTAAGATCCTTTCATTGGTAGTGGCTGGGTTTGTTCTTGGAGTAAGTTGTGGGCAGGGGATGAGGCTGGATAGGGTGTTTATTGTCATCCTTGGATGTCAGTGGGAGGGGCAGTAGGATTCAGCACACCTTCCAAATTCATTTTATTAGAGTGGTAGACTCCCACAGAACTTCCTCAGTTTAATCTAGAAGTCTTTCTGATAATTTAATTTTTTGGGAGGCTAGGTCAAGTCATCAAGGACATAGATTCCGGAAGTCCAGCAGAGGAGGCTGGCTTGAAGAACAATGACCTGCTGGTGGCTGTCAATGGCGAGTCTGTGGAATCCCTGGATCATGACAGTGTGGTGGAAATGATTAGAAAGGGCGGAGATCAGACTTCGCTGCTGGTGGTAGACAAAGAGACGGACAACATGTACAGACTGGTAAGTAATTTAAGGCTGCATATTCATGCATTAAGGTTGGGTCAATTCACTCAAGTCTCAAACTTTGGCTAGGTTACCACTTTGATTTTCAAACTGGAAGGGCATAACAATCCTCATTAAGACTGCACTGAAGTTCAAATTGGTAGTCATAAGAGAATGCCAAGTGATTGGTACATGAGTTTTAAGTCCTTAAATTTAAGATTTTGAAAGAATTTGCAAATATAACTACAGAATTACTCTTGTTGATCTGAGAAAAATCTATGAACAATAGTCTGGAAATAGGCAGATGTAGCACTAACTTTCCCAAATAGGAAACAATTGGATTTTAAATTATAGACCAATAAATTCCATTAACCCCACATAAAAGCCTAGAAAGTATTATTAAATAGCTTCTAAGCCCTTAGCAAGGAAAGAGAAACATGGATTCACCAAGACTAACTAACCTTAGGATCAAACTAACCTTATTTGCTTGCCACTTTTAATCACAACAGGTGTTAACGTGCATATTTTGTTTGTTAATAATTTTTAAATTTTATCACAAGAACTGAGGTATTCAGTCTAGTTTAACAAACATTTGGGGACCTTCTACATACCTAATCTGTCTTGCTAGGTGACAGTCACAAAGATGAACAAAGATGGACTTGTTCCATGTGATAACACAATAATGGAAGCATCTAAATGTACATAACTGATACAGAGGGAGGAATATGATAGGGGGTGGCATTGGCTCCTTTTTATAGATTACCAATTTCTTAGTCTCTCTAAATTTTTTTTTAAAGTCACCTACCTCAGCCAGTATTTAAACCCAAGTTTTTAATTCATTATACCATATACCTTCTCAGCACATTTTGATTAGCTATTTCAAGATACTTGTGTAAAGAAGATTAAAGAGTGAACTGGATGATAGAACAATTAATGGCTTTTTAGGTAGTTGTACAACCATACCTGAAGAATAATTCATATTGGAACAATGTCAATCTGAATAGATGTCTCCAGTGGTATACTTCTTATCATAAGCTAGTTTACTGCCAAATTTGGATGGAGACCTGGAAAACGTTTAACATACTTAACTCGTACAAATGGCTTAATGTGTTGATGGGTAATTAATTTACTAGAGATTATAATATTCAAAATATGTAGTCAGGATAGAAGAATAAAAATTAATAAGTTTAAGTTTAAACAGGAATAAACTTCAGGTACTAAACTAACTTAAAACTAAATTGTACGAGTACCAAATGGTGAGACCTGATTTGAGGACTATAAAAAAAAAAAAAGACCAGAAACCTGATGATACTCTAAATAGCTACCCCCATCCCCAAAAGGCAATTTAAAGTTACCTTAACTGACACTCGGCTTTTGGAGACGATAGTATTACTGTACTGAGTTATTCAGACCATACTTGAAGTGACTAGTAATGGAATCTTGGGCAAGTTACGCTCCCTGTGCTTGTTTCCTTAGTGGTAAGATGGGGGATAGCTACTATGAAGGGTTATATGCGGTAATATCTAGAACATTCAGAATAATACCTGGCACATAGAAATGTTATGTTTGTTAAGTCAACACTGTGTCCAGTTCTGAGAACATGACGATAAGAAGACCAGTGTCAGGAAAGGTAATCAGGGGGCAGCCCCCGGGGGGGGGTGTGTGTGTGGCAAGTCCCAGGGGGAGGGGGGCAGCCCCGGTGGTGCAGGGGTTTAGCCCTGCCGGCAGCTCAGGGTGTGATCCTGGAGACCTGGGATCCAGTCCCATGTCGGGCTTCCTGCTTGGAGCCTGCTTCTCCCTCTGCCTGTGTCTCTGCCTCTCTCTCTCTCTCTCTGTGTCTCTAATGAATAAATAAAATCTTAAAAAAAAAAGGTAATCAGGGCAGAGATTTTGGAAATCACCATGTGAATATTTAACTCGAATAAGCATAGGCTTTGGGGAAGAAAGGAGAATATCCTCAAGTAACTTGAAAGGCTAAATGGTAACTATGTAAGGTGATAGATATGTTAATTACCTTGACTGTGGTGGTCACATCACAATGTTATCAAATAAACACTGTACACTTTGAATATATACAATTTGTCAATTATACTTTAATGACGCTGGAAAAAACATAAAGCAAAAATTGACAAACTTGAAAGTAAAAATACACAATTCTATCATAATAGTTGGAGGATTTCAATATCCCATTCTCTATGGTGAATAGAGCCACCACTCAGAAGATAAGGAACTCAAGGACTTGAACAAAAGAAACTAACTAGACCCAACAGAAATACAGAGCACATCTACCCAACAACAGAACACATTCTTCTCAAGGGCACATGGGACATTATCCAGAATAGACCATATGCTAGACCACAGATTAAGTCACATTAGCCCAAAGATGGAATCAACCCAAGTATCCACTGACAGATGAATGGATTTAAAATGTGGTAAATAGGGGATCCCTGGGTGGCTCAGCGGTTTGCCAGGGCGTGATCCTGGAGTCCTGGGATCAAGTCCCACATCAGGCTCCCAGCATGGAGCCAGCTTCTTCCTCCTCCTGTGTCTCTGCCTCTCTCTCTCTCTCTATGTCTATCATAAATAAATAAATAAATGTTAAAAAATGTGGTAAATAGTGTGTGTATAAATATATATATTTATATGTATATAAATGTATATGTATATATTTTATATATATATAAAATATATACATATAAAAGAATTCAGAAGTCTATTACATAGGGAGCTTGCTTTTGGCTTAGGACCACTGAAGCTGCCAGGAACAGGGGAAGCCATTTTTGCTGAGTGGTGACTTCCCAGGTGGTGGATAGTTCAGGCAGAAGTCAGGAGGTTCCTGATCTGGCTGTTGTAAAGGGGATTCAGGCACCAATTATTTTCCAGTCCCTCCTAATTTTATGACAATGATGTAAATAATGTTCTGGTTAATATAAAAGAGAACTTTGATCTAAAAAGATGCCTGTCCCCATCTTCTTCCTCCTCCTCTCCAAATCCCCTCTAAAGTAGGTTCCAGGGCAGCCCTGGTGGCTCAGTGGTTTAGTGCCTCCTTCAGCCCAGGGCATGATCCTGGAAACCCGGGATCGAGTCCCACGTCAGGCTCCTTGCATGGAGCCTGCTTCTCCCTCTGCCTTGTATCTCTGCCTCTCTCTCTCTCTCTCTGTGTCTCTCATGAATAAATAAATAAAATCTTGGAAAAAAATTAAATTAGGTTCCATACAGGAGTGTGTGGGGGTGGGCGTATCTTTGAGATCTATCAGTGAATAAAACAAATACCTAACTCAAATATTTGAAAGTGAATAAAAACTCATTAAGTGTTTAACATTACTGTACTTGTCTTCAAGATTAGCTGCTACTATCACTTACAGTTGATTTGCGTGTTGGATAGTGATTCAACAGTATTTCTATATGTAAAGAGTCACTGATAACTTTCCACATTTTAAAGACAGAAAGAAATGTGGGACACTTGCAAATATATCACTGAAATGTCTGAAACTTAGTTGAACTGGGTACCTAGGAAGTTCTTAGCTGTGCTATTCTTGCTTAGGAAGGAAGATGTGGTCTTGTGGTTAGAGAGATGATAACCAGAGGACCCTAACCTAATTTTAACCAGGCTGCTGAACAGTGTGACTTGGGGCAGAGAACACATTGTACTCACTTTCAATTGCTTGATTTTCTACTCATTGCCTAACAAATGTCCTGTATACTCGTGGGCAGCAATTTAATTGCTGATCTCGGCTCTTACCATACCCAAATTTACCCTTTTAATTCTCTCAATTAAAACCCACAGTGTACTAAGCTCTTAATTCTTTTAAAAAAATCAGTCATGTTTCCTGTTCTATGTCTCTTTTGTATTCAAGACCATCATTCCCTTCTTCACATGGATGGTCTGAGAGTAGAGATGGAGTAGAAGTATTTAAAGTTGGTGAACAGGGCAGCCCAGGTGGCTCAGCGGTTTAGTGCTGCCTTCAGCCGAGGGCCTGATCCTGGAGATCTGGGATCGAGTCCCGCGTCGGGCTCCCTGCGTGGAGCCTGCTTCTCCCTCTGCCTGTGTCTCTGCCTCTCTCTTTCTCTCTCTGTGTCTCTCATGAATGGATAAATAAAATCTTAAAAAAAAAAAAAGTTGGTGAAGAGTTTGGCATAACAAAAGTGTCAGCTAAAGATTACAATAGTAAAATGAGTACAACAAATTACTGTGTGTACTTAAGATGGTGATAAAAATAGTGTTTTGTTTCACTTTCTCTGATGTGTTTAAGGAGCTCTGAAGACCATCTTACTGAAGAGGAAGGGCTACAGGAACCTATTATGCATGAGCTACAGAGCAAGTCCCTTGATGTGTGTAATCTCCCACAGGGAGACTGCCTACAGTTGGTCAGTGACTTGCTTACTAACACAAAGTCAAAAGATACTAGCAATTTTTTAAACTTATTTTTGAATCTTTATGCAACATTCTATACTGCTTTTATTTTATGTGTATGTGCATTTATTTACATATTTATACATATTACTCCATAGCCAAGCTCAATCTTTCTTCATACGTTTCCTGGTTGGGGTAGTAGAGAAATTTTACTGCCCCCAATCAAATGTATTTGCCAGAGTTGTGGAACATGTATGATACCTTGTAAATTAAGCTACTACATTTAATAAAGTATAACTACTCATACTTACAATTAATGTTTTTTCCCCCTTTTATTTTCAAAAGGCTCATTTTTCTCCATTTCTCTACTATCAAAGTCAAGAACTGCCTAATGGTTCTGTCAAGGAGGCTCCAGCTCCTACTCTTGCTCCTCCAGAGGTTTCAAGTTCAGATACTTCAGAGGAAGTAGGAAATCATAAGCCTAAGCTCTGCAGGCTGGTTAAAGGCGAAAATGGCTATGGCTTCCACTTAAATGCGATTCAGGGTCAGCCAGGCTCCTTCATCAAAGAGGTATGGTAATCTGGTTCCAGTAGCCCACTGACCACAGTCACACTTAGGAGACCCATAGTTTCTCCCACTCATCGATGGCTTAGTAAAAAGTTTTCATTGAAGACCTACACTGAGGGTCTCACTTGGTTTTAAAGAAATGTCATGGTCCCGTACCCTTTAAGATAGTGAGTAGTACATCCTAAGCTCACATCTTTTGTTTTTCTTAAACACCTAATTGTCTTTAGATACTTTCAAATCAAGTAGAGTGAATCAACATGACTGTACTTGACAGTCACTATCAGCTCTGAGAGTGATAATTGTTTACTTTTGAGCATTTGGCATAACGTCCCTAGCCTATAGGGACTGACAGTGCGAAGTCTATCCCTATAGCTCTCAAGTTGGGAATGAAGAAAGGGAACCTATGAAATCTAATTAATGCCTTCAACCCAGAAGACATATGATAAGGTATTTATTTAACTATTGCAATGCTACTCATTTTTTCTTCTGATGATCTTAATAATTTTTTAAAAAGTTGAAGTATAGTTGACATACAATGTTCTATTATTTTCAGATGTACAACATAGTGTTTTAACAATTATATATATTACAAATGCTCATCATTAGTAAGTGTGGTTACCACTGTCACCATAGTTATTAAATATTGTTGACTATATTCCCTAAGCTGTACTTTTAATTCCTGTGATTTATTTGTTGTATAACTGGAAGTTTGTACTTAATCCCCTTTGCCTATTTTGCCCATATCCCCCATCTGCCTCTCCTTTGGCAACCACCAGTTTTATTCTCTGGATGTGAGTCTATTTGTTTTGTTTCTTGGATTCTATGTATAAGTGAAATCATAAGGCATGTGTCTTTTTCAGTCTAATTTTATTTAGCAGAATACTGTCTAAGCCCATCCATGCTGTTGTGAATGGCAAGAGTTCCTTCTTTTTTATGGTTGAGTAATATTCCGTTGTGACATACACATGCACACATCTTCTTTACCCATTCATCCATCATGGGCACTTAGGTGGCTTCCGTATCTTGGCTATTGCAAATAATGCTGCTGGGAACATAGGGGGACACAAATCTTTTCAAATTGGTGTTTTGTTTTTTTTTGGGAAAATACCCAGAAGTGGAATCAATGGATTTTATGGTAGTTCTGTTTTGAAATTTTTGGGGAATCTCCATACTATTTTCCATAGTGGATGCACCAATTTACATTCCCACCCACAGCACACTGGGGTTCATTCCCATTTCTCCACATCCTTGCCAATACTTTTTATTTCTTATCTTTTTGGTAGTAGCCATTCTAACAAGTGTGAGGTGATATCTCATTGTGGCTTTGATTTGCATTTTCCCGATTAATAAAGTTGAGCATCTTTTCATGTGTCTCTTGGCCATGTACATGTCTTCTTTGGGAAAATGCCTATTCAGGTCTTCTGCCCACTTCTTTTTTTTTTAATTTTTATTTATTTATGATAGTCACACACACAGAGAGAGAGAGAGAGGCAGAGACACAGGCAGAGGGAGAAGCAGGCTCCATGCACCGGGAGCCCGATGTGGGACTCGATCCGGGGTCTCCAGGACCGCGCCCTGGGCCAAAGGCAGGCGCTAAACCGCGGCGCCACCCAGGGATCCCTTCTGCCCACTTCTTAATTGGATTATTTGTTGTTGTACGAGTCCTTTATATATTTTGGATATTAACCCCTCATCAGATATATCATCTGCAAATATCTTCTCCATTTAGTAGGTGGCCCTTTCATTTTGTTGATTTCCTCTGCAGTGCAAAACCTTTTTATTTGAGATAGCCAGAATAGTTTCTTTTTTGCTTTTACTTCCCTTGCCTAAGGAGACTGATGTAGAAAAATATCGTTACGGCCGATGTCAGGGTAATTACTGTGTTTTCTTCTAGGAGTTTTATGGCTTCAGATCTCACATTTAGGTCTTTAATCCATTTTGATTTTATTTTTGTATGTGGTGTAAAGTGGTCCAGTTTGATTCTTTTGCATGTGGCTGTCCAGTTTTCCTACCACCATTTATTGAAGACACTGTTGTATGTTCTTGCCTACAATCTACAACAAAGGTTGTAGACTGACCATATAAGCATGGGTTTATTTCTGGGCTCTCTATTCTGTTCCATTGATCTATATGTCTACTTTTGTGCCAGTATCATACTGTTTTGAATCCTGTAACTTTGTGGTATACCTTGAGATCTGGGATTGTAAGACCCCAGCTTTGTTCTTCTTAGGATTGTTTTACCTATTCAGGATCTTTGTGGTTCCATACAAATTTTAGGACCTTCTGTTCTAGTTTTGTGAAAACCACTATTGGAATTTTGATAGGAAAGGCATGGAACCTGTAGATTGTTTTGAGTAGTATGGACATTTTAACTCAGGGTACAGGTCTTTCAAACCTCCTTCTTAGCCTCCTTGGTTAAGTTTATTCCTAGATATTTTATTCTTTTTGATGCAAATATATATGGGATTTATTTTCTTTCTTCTTTCTTTCTTTTTTCTTTCTCTTTTTAAAAAGTTTTATTTATTTAAGTAATCTTTTTAAAGATTTTATTTATTTATTTATTTATTTAATAATAAATTTATTTTTTATTGGTGTTCAATTTGCCAACATACAGAATAACACCCAGTGCTCATCCTGTCAAGTGCACCCCTCAGTGCCAGTCATCCATTCACCCCCCACCCCCCGCCCTCCTCCCCTTCCACCACCCTATTTAAGTAATCTTTACACCCTGTGTAGGGCTTGAACTCACAACCCTGAGATCAATAGTCAAATGCTCTTCTGACTGAGCCAGCCAGGTGCCCCAAAATGGAATTGTTTTCTAAGTTTCTTTGCCACTTTGTTATTAGTGTACACCAACACAACAGAGTTCTGTACACTAATTTTGTATCCTACAACTTTATTGAATTCACTTACTCTAATAGTTTTTGGTGAGTCTTCAGGGTTTTTCTACATGTAGTATCATGTCATCTGCAAATAGTGACAGTTGTACTTTTTTCCTTATTAATTTGATGACCCTTCTTTTCCTTTTCTGATTTTTTTTAAAAAGGATTTATTTATTTGAGAGAGAGAAAAAAAGAGGTGAGGAGGGGCAGAGGGGGAGAGAGAATCCCAAACAAACTTCCTGTTGAATCTGGAGTCTGAAGTAGGGCTTGATCCCATGTCCCCGAGATCATGACCTGAATGGAAACCAAGAAATAAACCAAGATCAGTTTAACCAACTGAGCCAACCAGGCACCCTTCCTTTTCTGATTTTTGTAGCTAGGACATCCAGTACCACATCAAATAAAGGTGGTAAGAGTGGATATTTTTGTCTTCTCCTGATCTTAGAGGAAAAGCTTTCAGCTTTTCACCATTGAGTATGATGTTAACTGAGGGTTTGTCATATAGAGACTTATTTATGTTGAGGTATGTTCCCTCTAAATTTACTTTGTTGAGTTTTTATCATGCTGAATTTTGGCAAATGTTTTTTTCTGCATCTATTGAGGTGGTCATTAGATTTTTAACCCTCATTTTGTTAATGTGGTGTATTACATTGATTTGTGGATACTGAACCATTCTTGCAACCCTGGAATAAATCTCACTTGATTATGGTTAATGATCCTTTTACTGTGTTGTAGAATTTGGTTGGTTATTATTTTGAGGACTTTGCATCTATGTTCATCAGGCATAATGATGTGTAATTTTTTTTTGTGTGTGGTGTGTTTGTCTGGTTTTGGTATCAAAAACTGGTCTTGTAGAATGCTGGCTTTGTAGAATGACTTTGGAAGCTTTCCTTCCTCTTCTGTTTTTTTTGGAATACCTTGAGAAGGATAGGTATTAACTCTTCTTTAGATGTTTGGTAGAATCACTTGTGAAGCCATCTAGTTCTAGACTTTTGTTTGTTGAGGGTTTTTGATTTCTGATTCAATTTGGTTACTAGTCTGCTCAGATTTTCTATTTTTTCCTGACTCAGCCTTAGAAGAATCTGTTTCCAGGAATTTATATATTTCTTCTAGGTTGTCTAACTTATTTATTTTTATTGAAATATAGTTGACATGTTAGTTTTAGGTGTACCACATAGTGATTTGACAACTGTATATGTTATGCTATGCTCAACCACAAGTGTAGCTAATCATCTGTCACCACTCCACATTATTACAGTATCATTGACCATATTCCCTATGTCTTACCTTTTATCCCGTGATGTATTCATTCTATATTTCATCATTTTTGTGTATGGTGTGAGAAAGTGGTCATTATATAGCTGTTCAATTTTCATAGCACCATTTATTGAAGAGACTATCTTTTCTCCACAGTATATTCTTGCCTCCTTTGTTGATTAAATGATCATATAAGTGCGGGATCATTTGTGGGTTCTCTATTCTGTTCTATTGATCTATTTTTTTGGTGCCAGTACTATACTGTTTTGATTACTGTAGCTTTGTAGTATATCTTGAGATCTGGGATTGTGGTATAACAAATTTTGTTCTCCTTTCTCAAGATTGCTTTGGATATTTGGCATTCTTTTGTGGTTCCACACAAATTTTAATATTATTTGTTCTAGTTCTGTGAAAAATGCTGTTGGTATTTTGATAGGAATTGCATTGAATCTATAGATTGCTTTGGGTAGTATGAACATATTTAACAATATTTGTTTTTTCAAACATGAGCATGCAATGTCTTTCCATTTGTTTGTGTCATCTTCAGTTTCTTTCATCAATGTTTAGGTCTTCCGAGTACAGGTCTTACACTTTCTTGGTTAAGTTTATTCCTAGGTATTTTATTCTTTTTGGTGCAATTGTAAACAAAATTACTTCCTAAATTTCTTTTTCTCCTACTACTTTATTAGTAGTATAGCACAACTGACTTGTGTGTTAATTTTTTATCTTGCAACTTTATTGAAATCATTTATTCTAATAGTTTTTGGTAGAGTCTGTAGGGTTTTCTTTGTATAATATGTCATCTGCAAATAATAACAATTTTACTTTTTCCTTATCAATTTGGATACCTTTTATTTCTTATCTGATCCTTGCAGCTAAGTCTCACAGTGTTATGTTGGATAAAAGTGGCAAGAAGGAATGTTGTCCAGTTTATTGGCTTCTAATTTTTCATAACAGTTTCTTATAATTCCTTGTATTTCTATGGTGTTGGTTGTAACTTCTTTCATTTTTCATTGACTCCTCTTTTTTTTCCTTTGCAGAATCTGCCTAAAGGTATACAGTTTTAGCTAGCTCCTGATTTCATTGATTTTTAAAAAAGATTTTATTTATTTACTCATGAGAGACACAGAGAGAAGCAGAGACATAGGTAGAGGGAGATGCAGGCTTCCTGTGGGGAGCCTGATAGGGGACTCAATCCCAGGACCCTAGGATTACGACCTATGCCAAAGGCAGATCCCCAACTACTGAGCCAACCAGGCATCCCTCACTGATCTTTCCTATTTTTTTTTTTTTTTTTTAGTTTCTATTTCCACTCAGATCTTTATTTCCTTTCTCCTACTAACTTTGGGCTTTGTTCTTTTTCTAGTTCTTTTAGGCATAAGCTTAAATTGAGGTTTTTCCTGATTCTTGAGGTAGGGCAGTAGCTCTATGAGATTCTTAGAACTGCTTTTACTCCATCCCAAAGACTGAATTGTGTTTTCATTTGTCTTCATTTATTTTTTTATTTCCTCCTTGATTTCTTGGTTGACACGTTCATTGTTTAGTAGCATGTTACTGGTGTTCTTTTTAGACTTTTTCTTGTGATTTCTAGTCCAACCAGTTAGCCACCCAGGTGCCCCAGTGTCTTTGTTTTAAAATCTATTTTATCTAATGTAAGCACTGCTACTTTGTTTTTATTTTTGGCTTCCATTTGCATGGTAAATGTTTTCTAGCCTGTCACTTTCAGCCTGGGTCTTTAGGCCTGAAGTGTCTCTTATAAGCAGCATATAAATGGATCTTGCTTTTATATCCGTTCAGTTACCCTGTCTTTTGATTGGAGCATTTAGACCATTTACATTTAAAGTAATTGATAAGGGGGATCCCTGAGTGGCTCAGTGGTTTGGTGCCTGCCTTTGGCCCAGGGTGTGATGCTGGAGACCCGGGATCGAGTCCCACATCAGGCTCCTGGATGGAGCCTGCTTCTCCCTCTGCCTGTGTCTCTGCCTCTCTCTCTCTCTCTGTGTCTATCATTTCCTGGGTATTTTTGTAGTTCTATTCCTTTCTTCTTTTGCTCTCTTCCCTCATGACTGATGACGTTCTTTCTTCTTTTGCTCTCTTCCCTTATGACTGATGACTTTCTTTTAATGTTACACTTGGATTCCTTTCTAATTTTTTGTATTATTATAGGTTTTTGATTTATGGTTACTATATAACATTCCTATATGACATCCTAAATATATAACAGTGTATATTAAGTTGATGGTCACTTAAATTCAAACATATGTATGTATGTGTGTGTGTGTGTGTATATATATATATATATATATTTTTTTTTTTTTTTTAAGAGAGAGCACAAGTGAGTATGGGAGAGGAGGGACAGAGGGAGAGAGAGAATCCTAAGCAGGCTCCATGCCCTGCATGGAACCCGATGCAGGGCTTGATCTCACAATCCTGAGAAAATGACCTGAGCTGAAATCAAAAGTCAGATGCTTAACCAACTGAAACACCAAGGCATCCCAAATTCAAATATATTCTAAAAGCACTATATTTTTATTCCTTCCTCTCCACATGTAATGTGTCTTATTTTGCATCTTTTTATTCTGTAAATCTCTTATTTATTTGATATAATTGGTTTTACTACCTTTGTGTTTCAACCTTCACACTAGATTTATAAGTGATTGATCTACTATCTTTACGTGTTTTCTTTTATTGGTGAAATTTTTTCCTTTCATAATTTTCTTCTAGTTATCCCCTTTTCCACTTGGAGAAGGCCCTTCAACATTTCTTGTAAGTTTGGTTTAGGGGTTGTGACTTCTTTAACTTTTGTCTGGGAAACTGTCTCTTTCCTTCAATTCTGAAAATGAGTTTGCTGGAGTTTGCTAGAACATCCTTGCACGTGGTTTTTTTTTTCTTTGGTCCTTTGCAGGCCAGAGGGGGAATGGCATATATTTGTCTATATGTTATATGGATATATAATCTCAAAGTTTCTACTGAAAAATCAGCTGATAGCCTTACGAGATTTCCCTTATAGGTAGCTAGCTGCATTTCTCTTGCTGCTTTTAAGATTCTCTATCTTTGATCTTTGACATTTAAATTGTTATAGGTCTTGGTGTTCCTTCTTGGGTTCAGCTTGCTTGGGGTTCTCCTGGACGTCTGTCTCTTCCCCAGATTAGGGAAGTTTTCAGTTATTATTTCTTCAAAAAAAGCTTTCTGTCCCTTTCTCTGTTCTCCTTCTGGGATTCTTATGGCATGAATGTTACTGTCCTAGAGATTCCTTAACCTAACCTCAATTAATTTTTTTTTTCTTTTTGTTGTTCAGCTTGAGTGCTTACTGGTCTTTGCGGATCACTAGATTTGTTCTGTATCATCTGTTGATTCCCTCTCATGTATTTTTAAATTTTAATTATAAAAAAGAATGAATCAGAGATAAAGAATATATTTTTTATTTCTTTAAGTTCTTACTGAATTCATTTACTCTTCTCTGAAGTCTGGTGAGCATCTTTATGACCATTACTCTGAACTTTCTCAGGTTGATTGCTTATCTCCATTTTGTTCAATTCTTGTTTTGTCTTATTCTTTCATTTGAAACATATTCCTCTGTCTCAAACAGCTACATCTTCCTGTCTTAAAGGAGTGATCTTGTGTAGAAATGTCCCCAGTGTAGACTGCAGGTGCCTAGTAGCTTAGGGTGGAGCCAGCTCTGGTGGCATAGCTGAAGCAGGCATGGGCTGGGGTGATTTGGAGTGCTTTATGCCATGATTGCTTTGGTGAGGTAGCTGAGGGTGTCCTGGTGTGTGCCATAGTGGGCCTGCATTGAGCTGGTATGGGCTAGGGTCCCAGGGCTTGTTGAGGATGGCTAGAGCATCTGGGCTTATCTTGCATTATCAAGGTGGAGATGGAATGTTAACAGTGGTACTTGCTAATACCCTGTGCCCCTGAGAATTTCAGCAGTTTCTCTACCATTTGGCAGATGCTCTCGGGTTAGTCAACTGGTTCTCTTCGATTAGTCTAGTTGCTCTTTAAACTGCTACTATTTTTCTGTGCCCCAGGTCTGGGGAATCTGTGTGCAGACTCCTCAGTGGTCTCTCTCCCTACTGTAGTTTGTAGCATCAGGGGCGGGGGTTTCATCATTACTGTGTCTCCATCTCTTCTGCTGTTCTCTCTGTGGTCTATTCTTTTTTGTGTAAAAGCTGCTCAATCGGCCCTCAGTTCTTCAGGAGGAATTGCTCTTTATGTAGATGTCGATTTGGTGTCTGTGGGAGGAGGTGAGTTCAGAGTCTTTTTGTGCTGTCATCTCGGACCCCTCCTACCATGGTATTCATTTGAGAACGGAAGTTGAATCTTTCAGAAGTGGAAAAGCATTAGAGCACCTTTCTTATGTACCTTAGGGAGAAATAACATGGTTAAAAGTACATTTTCAAACTCCTCTCTCCTCTGAAGGGAAGCTAAACTAAATTCCTTTATCCATGTCAGGAAGTGATAATTCAGAACCTCTCTTCATAGGTACAGAAGGGCAGCCCTGCTGAATTGGCAGGGTTGGAGGATGAAGATATCATCATTGAAGTGAATGGAGCAAAGGTGGTGGATGAACCCTATGAGAAAGTGGTAGACAGAATCCAGAGCAGTGGGAAGAATGTCACACTGTTGGTCTGTGGAAAGAAGGCCTATGATTATTTCCAGGTTAAGAAAATCCCTGTTGTTTCTTCCATGGCTGATCCACTGAATGAAACTCCTGATTCCAAAGAAGAAACACTGGCAGAACCAGAGCTCGAGTCATATGTGGCAAAAGAACGAGTGAGTGGTGACAGACTACTTTTAGTGATCTAACCTATCAGGGTATGATAAAGTCCTTAATAAGTACACCCCAGGTCTGTGTTGACCACACATTTCCTAGAATACTGGAAAATTACAAAGAGAACAAGCAAGTCAAATTATTTTGGTGGAGAGGAAGTGGTATGAGGACAAGCTTCTTTTTCATAGCATGGAGTTGACAGTAACTGTCTGGAGAAAAATCAATTAATAAAAGTTTATCAAAATTATAATGGAACCACCAGAAGAACCTGAATCAGACTGTGTACAAATTCTGATTCTGTAACTTAACAGCCTTGGGCAAATGGATTTATTTTCTCTCTGCCTCACTTACCCCGCTTGTAAACCAAGAATAGTTTATAGGATTATTAGGATTATATTAACTATTTTTCAATTTAAAAAAATTTTAAGTTTAAAATCAATTAATATATAGTATATTACTAGTTTCAGAGACAGAGTTAAATGACTCATCAGTTGCATATAACACCCAGTGCTCATTCCATCACGTGCCCTCCTTAATGCCTATCACCCAGTTACCCCATCCCCCCCAGATACCTCCCCTCCAGCAACCCTGTTTGTTTCCTATTTTTTATTTTTATTTATTTTTTGTTTGTTTCCTATTAACTAAGACTATTAAAGTGCTTCAAATAGTGCCTGGTTAATAATGGTAAGCCTGAAACTGAATGGTAGTGGTTAGAGACATTCAAGATAATTGGCAGGTATGTATGTTTTATTAATAGGAAAAAGCATTACTCTGGATTAAATTCCTTGATAAGTCTTTTATATTTTTGCCAAGTTCATAAAGGAAATGAACGGCAAAGCCAAAACTCCAAAAGATTTATGTCATTCTTCTTTCCATTATATTTAATTCTACTCCATTTACATTAATTTTACAGATTGGTCATATAAATTAAATACTACTTGTTAATGAATACACTCTTAGTTTGGGATGCTATAATAAAAGACCATAGACTGGGTGGCTTATAAATCACACACATTTATTTCTCACAGTTCTGAAAGGTGAAAAGTCCAAGATCAATTGATGAGTCACTGACAGATCTGGTGACTGGGGAAGACCCCTCATCCAGGTGGGAAATGGCCAACTTCTTGCTATGTCCTCACATGGTAGAAGGGGATATGGAGCTCTGGGGGGACCTTTTTTCATAAGGCATTAATCCCAATCATGAGGGCTCTGCCCTCATAACCTAATCACCTCCCAAAGGTCCTACCTCCTAATATCACCTGACCTTAGGATTAGTATTTCTATATATGAATTTTGGGGAGATACAAACATTTAGACCATAGCACACACAATAGCCATTGACCTTCCATTCTTGATTGCTTAGCAAAGAAAGCATTCTACTTGTCTTTAAAGAATTCTCTATTTCTATAGCAAGTCAGTTATAGGGCTAGGCAATTATAGAAAAGATATACAGACATTAAGAAATTTGTTACTGTCAAACAGCAAAGTAGAAACAAAGCCAAGTGTGAAATTCAGGTTACCTGGCTTCTAGTGAGTGACTCTACTCCCTGCCTTAAGTCATTCAACTGCTGACATTCACACTCTCGCACTTACAGATCCTTTGTTTTCTTTTGCACAGGCTCACAGTACAGCCTCACATTCTTCTTCCAATTCTGAAGACACAGAGATGTGATGAAAGCAAATAATGGCTTTGGCTGACAGCTGTTTCTGGGTATATAGTACAAATCCTTTCCCGAGGAATGAGCTGCCACCCATTTACTGTCTCTATTAGAGAAGAACTCCTCTGGGAACCACTTCATCACGTTTGACTGTCTTCTGTTGTTATTTGTCTTGGGGGTGACTATTGCAATAGATAGCTTATTTATGGTCAACTTAAGGTAGCAACCAGATTCTTTACATGTGATCTCTTTCAAGCTTCAACTTCACTACATTTCTCTATATGATGATATTTCTTAATTCTATAGGCTTCTTGTGCACTAAAGATGATTCATAAATCTGTATATGTGAGAGCTGCTATAAAATATCTGAGCAGATAAGCCTATTAAAATTATGCTTCTGTAAGAATGTTGTGATTGCTAAAATAGATGCCATTAAAAATGCCTCTTGAGTATACTTGAATCTTCCCTATTAGCTGATAAAACCTTAATAGTGCTTTTGTTTTTTGTAAACTTGCTTTTATGCTTTACCCTTCATTTTTTTTAATAAATTAATTTTTATTGGTGTTCAATTTACCAACATACAGAATAACACCCAGTGCTCATCCCGTCAAGTGTCCCCTTCAGTGCCCGTCACCCATTCACCCCCACCCCCCGCCCTCCTCCCCTTCCACCACCCCTAGTTCATTTCCCAGAGTTAGGAGTCTTTATGTTCTGTCTCCCTTTCTGATATTTCCCACACATTTCTTCTCCCTTCCCTTATATTCCCTTTCACTATTATTCATATTCCCCAAATGAATGAGAACATACACTGTCCTTCTCCGATTGACTTACTTCACTCAGCATAATACCCTCCAGTTCCATCCACGTTGAAGCAAATGGTGGATGCTTTACCCTTCATTTTGCCTCTAGAAACCCAAACCACAGTAAAATTCAACATAAGATCTTAGAGACTTCCTGGTAATAAAACTCAGGATGGCTTTCCTCAAATTGCATTTCGCAATGTTCTATAAACTGTCCAGCATTTTGCTTTGACAGATGAGAGAGTAGGGTCTAGGATAGGAAAATGACTTATTCCAGTTAACAGTTATTCATTGTTTTACCCCCACAGCATGAAGGGCAGATGGAAGGAAAAAAAAACAAAAAACAAAAAACGAGGCAACATCAGCAAATTGAATGTACAGTAATTCATCCTCAGGTGATACTAACTTAAAAGGAAATCAATAAAGATGATATACCTGAATGCTCTCAGTAGAATCGATTTCAGTAGCACACTGTCCTATCCCCAGACAAGAACAGAGAACCTGTTGGTTATTTTAATGGGGTAGGGGTTGGCAGGGAAATGCCAACTCATGTTAGATTGCATAAACACACTACACCAAGCTACCCTTGATAAAATGAAGCTAAAGCCAAAGAGTTACAATCTGATTTTAATGATAGTCAATCTTAAGGGAAAGCCATAACCTCCTCCCTGTGAGCCTTGAACAGAAAATCTGGGTGTCTGGCACAGCTACCCGTGACTGCCCCTTTCCCCAGGGTTCCAGTGTATTCCCACCACCTAGTTTCTTGGCTTTTTCCCACCTCCTTGTCCCGATGCTGCACCAGCTTCAAACCCCCATGGAAGGCTCTCCGCTGAGTGCTAGCTTGAGTTTACTTCACACTCTCATGTTCTAGGTAATGCTACTCATGATCATAGTATCCACTGAGGAGGAAGGCATAAGCTGAGGGTAGAATATGCTACCTCAGCATTTTGATTGTTTAAAAAAGATTACGCCCTGGTCCCCTCCATTTTTTCCTCTTACATCCAAATCCTGACACCATTGGCTTGTTAAAGTCTGTAACAGGCTCGTGTTCAAGGTGCCATATGCTTCTCTGGTGCTTGTTTGTGAGCCAAATAGAGGAACAGTATGCTGGAGAGAGCACTGACCAGGAAGATCACATCAAACCAACGGTGATAGAAGTTGAACTGTAATTCTCCAAGGACTTCAGTGATTATGGTGCGGTATTCTAGAGGCATGCTCATTCGAATCAGTAGCACGGAGGAGACAAAGTACATGCCCTGTAAGTTAATCCAGAAGTCACTCTGAATGTGGTGAAGGGCCAAAGGGAATTGATAAGATACGTAGAAGTTAAAACTAGTTCATGAAACGTACCATTATCTGTGCTAATAGCAGGACAATGACGTTGGAAGACTTACTGCTGGAGATGGCATAAAAGAACTGTCAAGAAAGGGAGAATTCATTCAGCACTGCTAGATTCTTGTGTCACGAACATGAAGTACCATAGTTAACATTTAATTAAAAGTTTCTCTTCCACACAAATAATCCAGGACAGAACAACTGATAAGATTAATGCCATGAAGAAGAGAAAGAGACTGAGAGCAAAGGATCTAGCTGTAATGTCCCCAGAAGGACAGCTGGTGGTTTTAAGAATTACATTATGACATGAAAGGATTCTAATCGCTGTCAAATTTTTCAGAAACTATGTGATACACATGACTTTCATATCACTATAAAACATTAAAACAGATTACTCCAGGCCACTCCATGCCCTTGTAATTATTACTAGGCTCCTGAGCATTTTCCAAAATTGTGCTAGATGCCTGGAGAGCCCTTTTCCTCTTTCCTCCTAACCTCTTCACTCCTTTCATTCAAACAATTCTTGGATATTGGGATCCCTACACCTCTTCTCTAAGAGAAAATTTACCTCTGCCTCCATAAAGCCTTTCTATGTTGATCAGAAAACAGTCAAATATTCTGATTCTCCTACTTATACGTCCTCCTTACAAGTGACTTTCAAAGTTACCCTAACCTCAAATACCTATCTTGTTTGTTTATTCCAAGTATCTCTGGAGTTCTTACCATGTGCTAGTTTCTACTGCTAGGTGCCGATGCGGTATCAGTGAACAAACAGACCATGATCTCATTCTATGACCTTTGGTAAATGCACTCAACTGATTGGTGTATTATGTAAACCCATCAACATCAGTTTATATAACAGTTTCACTTTTAAAAAACTTTATTGCAGGTATTTTAAATATTTGTGAACTGTTGTGTAAGATCTCAGAAGGTTGAAATCTCTATTAGGTAAAATTATCTCATGGTGTCACACAAAATATCACAAATGGTAAGCCATTTAAACTTAGTGATACAACATACCTTGGTAAGAGTGATCAGTAATCCTCTGATAGATGTGACGATGATTATTCCAACCAGAATGAAGGAAATGTGCTGAGACCAGAACTTCACCTGCCACCATAAAAGGAAGGAGAAGTGTGTGTGAAATCTCTGTTGAGAGACATGTGAAAGCTATTCGGATCACTTACATGACTGAGAGAACTCCATTAGGCCCTACCTGTTTTAAAAAATTTTAGGGTGGGAGGAAAATGAGTAAGGGGCAACTACAGCACCTAGGAAGACTGCAGTGGATAGCTTTCTAAGAAGATTTAATCAAAACTTAGGATGGAAGCAAGCAAGTGCAGTGAAGTGATGAAAACACCACCAGTCAATTTGAAGAAACAGAACCAATGACACAGTTTCAATGTGTTAAGTGAAGAGCATGGATTAGAAGGAAATTAGCAGCTAAATTATTTTTGACATCCATGAATGATAGTCCCTTGATCATCCAAAACTTAAGAGAAATTTTTCTTTTTATAATGAAAGACTATGTAAATATTCTCAGCTATGGTCTGGGAAATAAACAGTTGACCTTCACTTGAATTACATGATAATACTGTTTTCTTCTCCTGGATTGCTTCACTGTGGGACCTGTGCTGGATTCAGGTCTGAAAAGTATCTATGGGGGAACTGCTACTACTAACATCTAAAAGGTATTATATGTGGAGTATACAGATGGATTATAGATGAAATATACAGACACTACAGCAACTTAAATAGCTTCAGAAAGCACTGATGAGGAAGAACACTTTAATAATTGAGACCAGTAAGAATTTTAAAAGAGGAAAAGAAAACACATATGCAGAATAGTGAAGCCTTTTTTATGGTAGAATTTATAAACTACCTGGAGGAAAGATACCATGCTCCTTCACATGAAAAAGTTTACACTATTGACCTATCATCAAAAAACATGTGCTTTGAGTTGTTTTTCAAAGACTGAAGCTCAATTTGCTGTGGTTAATTTTCATTTTATCCAGCTACTAGGAGAATATCCAGCTGAGATGGATGGCTGGGGGTAGCATGCAGTCTGTTACTAGAATCATAGCACAGCTAAATGGTCCTCAGAGGGACTAAGAACATGATTCTGGTCTTACTACCAAAGTGCTGATTCACTGGCCACACACACACACACGCACGCACATATTTGGAAAATATATTCTTCTATAAATAAAGACATTAAACTTAAATTGGGACAAGAGTGTGTTTAACTGACAAATACCCACCATTTGCTTCAACATGGATAGAACTGGGTATTATGCTGAGTGAAGTAAGTCAATCGGAGAAGGACAAACATTATATGTTCTCATTCATTTGGGGAATATAAAAAATAGTGAAAGGGAATAAAGGGGAAAGGAGAGAAAATGAGTGGAAAATATCAGTGAGGGTGACAGAACCTGAGAGACTCCTAACTCTGGGAAATGAACAAGGGGTAGTGAAGGGGAGGTGGCGGGGGGATGGGGTGATGGGCACTGGAGGGGGGGCACTTGACAAGATGAGCCCTGGGTGTTATGCTCTATGTTGGCAAACTGAACTCAATAAAAACATATACAAAAAAAAAAGTGTGTTTAACAATAGTGATATTATAAAACAGGCAAAGGAATTAAAACTGCACAGGTTACAGTTACCATCTTTAGCTCAAAGTTCACATTAATTGATAGCTTTTTACGGCAGACATAATTTCACTTCTAACATGGAACACTAATTAGTGATTAATTTTCTACTAGAGGAATCAAAGGTGAGTTTTGGATTTGAAAATCTCATGCATCAGAGATCTCATGTACCCAGTATTTGGGGAAAAAACTGGGGAGGGGAAGCTGGCTATAGAAAAGCAGAGGAGGAGCTACAGAAATAATCAGCATTGAAGGGGATCCCTGGGTGGCACAGCGGTTTGGCCCCTGCCTTTGGCCCAGGGCGCGATCCTGGAGACCCGGGATCGAATCCCACATCGGGCTCCCGGTGCATGGAGCCTGCTTCTCCCTCTGCCTGTGTCTCTGCCTCTCTCTCTCTCTCTCTGTGACTATCCTAAGTAAATAAAAATTAAAAAAAAATAATAATCAGCATTGATAATAATAATAATAATAATCAGTAATAAATACCAGCTATCACTTATGGTTTTATGTCCTTAACAAATCTGCCATATGAATATGTCAAAAAAAACAGAGGAGAGTGAAGAACAAAGACAGAATGAAGTAAGGAATTAGAATCTTAACAATTTTCATTTATAGCAGATAAAAAAGAAACTGAGATCTTGATACAACTCACATCAAATTGGATCCCCAGATAATTCACAGTGATCTCAATGCCTCTTGTGACAGGATCAGTTTTTCCAACTCGGTCAAAAACGATATTAATGGTTGCCTGCAAAGACACGGACCTTTATATTAGAGCATCTCAATGATTACTATTTCAAAAAGTGACTTAAAATAATGAATCAATATAACATATATTATAGGTGGGATGTTCCTAAAAATGCAATTCTACTCTCAATCTAAATCATATATAAGACATTTATTTTGGTTATTCACATATAGACAAACAAAAGTCCTTATCCAGTCCCTATTGTTCTTTTCTGTAAAGAATAAAGGGAGAAAAGGCTATGGTATATACACCTTAATTTCACAGAAGTTAGATGGGTAACATTCTGGTGGATGAAGTTTGAGTAAGAGAATCAAGAATTCCAGGGTCATTCACACTCTATTTTCTGAATGCTCTAAGAGCAATCACTAAAATAATGAAAAGAGAGTTACAGCCAACAAGAGATTAGATAGAATTATGAAAAATACCCAATTAATCCAAAAGAAGGCAGAAAAAAAGGAAAATGGAAAAAAGGATAGGACAAATTAAAAACATAAAACAACACAGTTGGTTTAAATCCAACCATATTAATAATCACATTACATGTAAATAGTCTAAACTAGGGGTTGGCAAACTCCATCACCGTAGTGATAGCCCCAGATGATATGTGGATGAATGCGCTTGGCTGTGTTCAAATAAAACTTTATGTACAGTGATAGGTGGTGGCTGGATTTGGCCTATGAGCTCTAGATGGCTGAATCCTGGTCTAAACCTACCAATTAACTGGCAGAGACCATAAGATTGGATAAAAAAAGCAAGACCCAACTATATATTGCTTACAAGAAACCATTTTAAGTATAAAGATACAAATAGGTTAAAAGTAAAAGAATGGAAAAAGATATATTATGCTAACACTAATCAAGAGAAAGCTGGAAGGTCTGTATTAATATCAAAGTAGATTTCAAAGTAAAAAATATTGCCAGGGATTAAAAGGGTCATTTCAGAACAATAAAAGGATCATTTATTGAAATGATACAAAATGGGGTACAAAATGATCCTAAAGATGTATGTACCAAATAAAAGAACTTTAAAATACATGAAGCAGGGGTGTCAGGAAGATGGTGGAATAGGAGGTTCCTGAGCTCACCTTCTCTCACATCGAGAACAGCTACCTCGGTGCAAGTCTGAAAACAGCCTGCAAACTGGCAGAATAGACCTTCCACAGTTAACTGTTGAGAGGAAGCCATATTGAAAAGGGTGGAGGGGCTTACATACCGGAGACTAACCAAAAACAGAGGGACACTACAAGCACAGAGAAGCAGAGAGGATGGATCCCAAACTAGACACCCCTGGCAGTGAGATGATGAGTTCCCAGTAACATGTGGCTTTGAAAGCCAGCAGGTATTAATTTGGGGAGCTTTTAAAATCAGCAGGGCTTAAGTCCAGGTACTTTAAAAATTAGTAGGGCTTAATTCTGGGAGAGTCAGAGGGCAAGAGAAAATAGTCCCTGCTCTTAAAGATTTAGAATAAATAACTTGGCTTAAGAGTATAGAAATAGCAGTTTGAAAAGTGCTTGGGTATATGCGAAGGATATTCATTTACTAATCTCAACATGTGCTGGAGGGGCAGGGAGTCTTCTCTTCAGGAGACTTCAAGAACAAAAGTGCTGGTGGGCACCATTTCTCTTCTCCTCCCCTAGCGCAGACAGCCAGATGCTTGTGGGAACCAGCACTAATACTACTCTCTACCTATCTTCCTGGCACCACATGCCCTGCCCCATCTTTCACCTGGGGACCTGCCTGCCTCAGGGGTTGGCTCTTTAAAACAGTTCCTGCCCCACCACAGCCTGCAATCAAACTGAATAGGGACCCGCACCACTCTAAATTGACTACAGCCCTGGGGAGAGAGAGAGAACCCTCCACATCAGTGTGCCCAGGGTTCCAATAGCTGAGTCTCTTAGTTGGGTGTGTAGGGACCAAACTCTGCCCAGGGTGCCCACAGCAGGCAAAGCAGGTCACTGAAGCCAACTAAGGCAAATGCAACTCAGCCACAATAGTAGGGTGCATGCTACCCATATAGGAGGCACCCTTGGGGCACCTGGTTCTGGTGCCTTCTTCTACATGAGGCCACTCTTTCAAGACCAGGAGTCAGAGCTGAGCCTCTAATACACAGAAACAGAGAGCAAGACAGAATGAGAAGACAGAGGAATATGTCTCAAATGAAAGAACAGGATAAAATCACAGCAAAAGATCTAATGAAATGGAGATAAGCAATATGCCTGGATAAAGAATTTAAAGTAATGGTCATAAAGATACTCACTGGACTTGAGAAGAAAATGAATGAGTCCAATGAGAACTTCAACAAAAATATAAAAAAGAACCAGTCAGAGATGAAGAATTTAATAACTGAAAAAAGAAAAAAAAGAAAAAAAAACACACTAGAGGCAATCAACGATTAGAGGATGCAGGGATCCCTGGGTGGCGCAGCAGTTTGGCGCCTGCCTTTGGCCCAGGGCGCGATCCTGGAGACCCGGGATCGAATCCCACGTCGGGCTCCCGGCATGGAGCCTGCTTCTTCCTCTGCCTATGTCTCTGCCTCTCTCTCTTTCTCTCTCTGTGACTATCATAAATAAATAAAAATTAAAAAAAAAAAACATTTAGAGGATGCAGACTGGATCAGCAATCTGGAAGACAGGTCCTTATTGAACAATGCATTAATTAGACCAGATGAACTATATACTATACATACTGAACATTCCATCCAAAAACCATTGAATACACATTCTTTACAAGTACACATTGAACTTTCCCCAGAATAGATCACAACTTATGTCACAAAACAAGTCTCAATAAATTTAAGAAGACTGAACTCATATCATGCATCTTTTCCAACCATACTGGTATGACCCTAAAAGTCAATCACAAGAAAAAAATCTAAAAGAATGTCAATATATGGAGGCCAAGTAACATGCTACTAAACAACGAATAGGTCAACCAAGAAATCAAGGAGGAAACAAAAAAGTACATGGAGACAAATGAAAATGAAAATAGAATAGTTCAAAGTCTTTGTAAAAGACTTTGTAAAAGTCTTAGTAAAAGCCATTCTAAGAGGGAGTTCAAGTAAACAACCTAACCATACATCTAAAAGAGCTAGAGAAAGACCAAAGACAAGCTAGCAGAAGGAAACAATAAAGATTAGAGCAGAAATAAATGAAATAGAAAAAAAAAAATCAATGAACCCAGAATCTGTTTCTTTGAAAAGATCAACGAAATAGATAAATCTGTAGCCAGACTCCTCAAAAAAAAAAAAAAAGACTCAAATCAAATAAAGGAGGACAAATAATAATTGACACTACAGAAACACAAAGGATTATAAGAGACCATTATGAAAAAATGTATGCCAACAAATGGACAACCTAGAAGAAATAGATTCTTAGAAACATAATCTTCCAAAACGGAATCAGGAAGAAATAGAAAATCTGAACAGATTTTACTAGTAATTTCTAGTAATAAAATAGAAATCAGTAATAAAAAAAAAAACTCCCCCAAAACAAAAGCCCAGGATCAGATGGCTTCCCAGGTGAATTCTACCAACATTTAACAAAGAGTTAATACCAAAGAGGTGAAAGATCTGTACTCTGAAAACTATAAAACACTGATGAAAGAAACTGAAGATGAATCAAACAAATGGAAAGATCTTCTATACTTGTACACCTTAAATAAATTAACGTATGTAACATTGTGTGTCAAGTCTACTAAAAATAAAGAAGACTTAATACCTATTCTTCTCAAATGACTTTTAATTTTTATTATTTTTAAAAGATTTTATTTATTTATTCATGAGATACACAGAGAGAGAGAGGCAGAAGGAGAAGCAGGCTCCTCAAGGGGAACCTGATGTGGGACTCGATCCCAGGACTCTGGCACTACGCCCTGAGCTGAAGGCAGGTGCTCAACTGTTGAGCCACCCAGGTGTCCCTCAAACAACTTTTAAAAAAAGATTTATTGATTTCTTTTAGAGGCGGGAGAGGGAGAGATGGAGGGAGAGGAAGAAGGAAAGAATCCTAAGCAGACTTCATGCTGAGCACAGAGCCCAATGTGGGGCTTGATCTCATGACCCATGATATCATGACCTGAGCTGAAATCAAGAGTCAGATGTTCAACCAACTGAGCCGACCAGGCACCCTTCTTCTCAGGGGATTTAAAAAAAAATAGGAGGGAGGAAACTTCCAAATTCATTTTACAAGGCCAACATCTCTCGGATACCAAAACCAGACAGATACTACAAAAAAAGAAAACTATAAGCCAATATTTCTGATGTGCATTGATGCAAGATTCCTTAACAAAATTTAGCAAACTGAATTCAACAATACATTAAAAAAAATTGTTCACCATGATCAAGTAGAATTTATTCCAGGGGGTTAGCCTGAGTGGCTCAAAAGTTTAGCGCTGCCTTCAGCCCAGGGCCTGATCCTGGAGACCCAGGATCGAGTCCCATCCCTACATGGAGCCTGCTTCTCCCTCTGCCTGTGTCTCTGCCTCTCTCTCTCTCTGTGTGTGTCTCTCGTTAATAAATAAATTAAAAAAAAAAAGAATTTATCCCAGGAACAGCAGGGTTTTTCAATATTCTCAAATCAAACATGATAAGCTACAGCAATAAAGTATAAAAACTACTTGCTCATCTCAGTAGATGCAGAAGAAGCATTTGACAAACTACAATCCTATTCAAACTACAATCCTATCCTATTCATAATAAAGTGGATTTAGAGGGAAGAAAGTGGCTTTAGAGGAACACATGTCAGCATAATAAAGGCCATATGTGAAATATACATAGCTAACATCCTACTCATTGGTGAAAACCTGAGAGCTTTCCCTCTAAGATCAGGAAGAAGATAAGGGTGTCCGCTCTTACTACTTTTATTCAACAGAATATTGGAATTTCTAGTGCGGCAGTCAGACAAGAAAAAGAAATAGCATTCAGAAAAAGGAAGTTAAACTTGCTATTTGCAGATGATATGATAATAGAGAAAACCCTAGAAACACCACCAAAAACTATTAGAACTG